GCACACTGATTCATTATGAATGTAGGCCGCACCCCCTAGCGGCGAAAGCTCGTACTACATCCGGTTCGCCCTCTATTGACACAGTCTTGAGACTTTCCGATCGCACCTCGTATAAGTAAACCTGAAAAACGCTACTACAGTATCGGATAGTCAGTTCTCTTTAACATATGTATCCAAACAGGATAAATACTCAAACACTTTTTAATCAATACAATTTGAAAAGCGAAAGGAGACACAAAATATAATAACTATAGAGTAATTGCACTAGAACACAATACTTCCAAAGATGACTGTCCTTTGATGTACTGTACGTCTACACAACGCTACATCCCAGGAGACAACCGTCTCCGAATTCGCCACCGTGAAAATCTGACCCAGTACATCCAAATTCTAACTGAGCGTTAACATCGCAGTCGCTGAGTGAACGGAATGAAAACTAAGCCACGAACAAAGTGCGCAAGTTTACCATCTTTTTGTGTAATTATTTATTTAATTATTTAAGTTGACGAAACCACAAGATTACATAGCTAAAACTACTACTTTAATCCTTGCGAATATAACTAACCTGATATTGCATCCATTCGCCTGTGTAAAGAACAAGTTTCTTCAAGTCTAATGCCATAATCAAGGGGACTACCAAGCAGGCTCCAGACATAAAGACACGTGTAACACATTGTATATTTTGTAGTCAAAATTTCTGCTGTCGTGGAGAGCCATCATGCGTTCCTGGAGGTTGCAGTAAAATGACACCATCAGCAGCGGGTAAAGACACACAGAGTAGGCCACGGCGAGTGACAAAATGCAGAATCTCGGTGTACCTGTAGTTTTGTTAAAGTGATAATGGGTCTATTAAGACAAGTTCAGGATGCACACGTATAAAATCAAAGCCACGTTTAACAATTAAGAGATACAGTGCTTGTTATTGGACAAGGGAGAAAAATATGAATCAAGGAATGTTGTTGAGTTCAAATAAAAGACAGGGCTTGTACCACGATTCAGAGGGATCTAAGTTCATAGGAAAACCTGAAATAAATAGAACCACATGAGAGTCCTATGAAACTGTGGAAGGAACCTGTCAAAGTTGATCTGAATAATAACGGAAAGATTGATTCATCTTCCTCAGGTCAGAGACAAGTTACGGGCTGTTGCGGACGTGGATATGAACGGGAAATTCTGCCGTCGTAAACGTTGGGAAATGTTGTGTTTCTGTGCGTGTATTACAACGGTTCGTTTCTACCACGGATTCCACGTAATTAACGAGTAACAATTCGCTGCTGGCAGCTTTAAGTCAGCTCACCGTCAATGTTTATCAAATATTCTAATATTCAGCGGTGGTGTATGTATTTAAATATTATGAGTTTATCATTGTATTAATTAATTATTTAAAGAATCCCTAAGATAAAAAATTGTGTTTAAAATGTCGGTGGCATAGAAAGTAACCTGTTATATGTCTAGGGGCTGTGATTTTGTGAATGGATCTTCTTCTTTATTAAGCCGTCTCCTTTATAGGGGGTTGGCGACATATTATGAACAGGATCCTTTCATCCTTTTCTAATTGTTTTTAATACCAAGTACTTTCATCTTACTTTTGACAACTGAAATATCAGATCAGCACAATTTACTTACCTGTCTTTGGTATTTCAACTGGAAGCGCTCCCAGTAGACGAAGCAGATGAAATAATGGTTTAAACTGACTGTGATAGAAGTCGCTCTCAAAATTTTCTGCATCCTTTGATAACCATTTTGTGTTTGTTGACGGTTTCCATAATATGTTATTTGTATTAAAAGAGATGTATTTTGACTGGACCATACGTGTATTCCTCATCACAAATCTACTTGCTCTTCATTTGTGTTTCAACAGGTGTTATAACCTACGTAACAAGTGGGGCAGAACACTTTATATTGACGCCCACGAACTTTGTTTACATGGCTGTAAATGTATATCCTCATGGGGATAAAATAACATACTGATATTGATCGACTGTTTTATCATTAATATAATTGAAGAAGCGGGGTCTAGATAATGATGTGCTGTACGTCCTTTTTGCAATTCTTGCAATACAAATTTTGCTATCTGAAAATCTTCATCCTTGCTAGAAGAATCGCGTGTGATACAGCTTGTCCCCAACAAAGGTTATAAGTTCAGGCATTATAATAAATGATAATCAGGGAGTTGATATTCAACCGGATGATTAGAAGAAAACTCGTTAATAAGTTCTTAGTGTAATACACGACACGTGGAGCGCACTGTTGGTTTCGGCAGTTGAACTGATGTCCGCTGTATCGATACGTGTCAAGTTTTATACACACACTTTCAAGTTTTGTATCAAGCAGTCAACAGTGCATTGAAATTATTCGGATAATTAAATAGGTAAGAATGAGATGAGTGAGATATGTAGCAAGAAAGAGAGAGATGTGAAATATTTAAAAAAACATAAGTTGGAAAACCTGTAGGGGAAGTTTCATTACGTAAGGTATAGGTTTGTTGATAGTTTTAAATACATCTTAAATTAAGGATTGAGGCTGTGAACTAGATTCAACTGACTCAGGATATTAATAAATTCTTATTGAGGCCTTCACAAAAATAAACATTTTGTTCTATGAAAGGCTGGGTTGTTGTAGACGAGCTGAACGACTACTAGCTTCTCCAGTAGCACTCTACTGTGTAGAGTAAGATTTCTGAGGTTCATCTTTATCCGGCCAAAACATAGACAGATGTAACGTGTTTCTGAGATTGTACGTAGCCAAAGTTACGAGGTAAACAAAAATGCACTGAAAAGGTACAAAGTGGCTACATTCTGACTCTTAACACATTCGAGTATTGCGACCCACTCAGGAGAATATGTTTGCATCGATTGTATGAAGATGGCTGCCTTATACGTCATTTAACATTATGGCGATTGGTTAACAACCAGATAACACAGGAATAAAATCCACAAGACAGCCATCTTCGTACTCACCGCCGTGGAAAACTCAAATTCTATCTAGCACAGAATGTAAAAAAGGCATTAATCCTAACTGAAGTCGGAGTACATAAGTCTTATGTTAAGAATTGCTACTCTACGTTTATATTAGTGTTCTCTAGATGGATTATTTGCATTTATTTATATTTCTTCATTTATTTTTCTTTGTGTATAATATTGTTTCTATTTTGGGCTTGCCTGTATTTGGCTGTTATATTTAATACTGTACATGTATGAGTTTAGTTAATCTGTTTCTGTAATATTTTTCAATATTAGTTCATTATTATATTTATTATCAGTATGTATTATCAATGTTTGCCTGTTATAAGCTTCTTGGTGTTGGCAAACACTTAATTAAATGAATTGAATTGAATTTATAACTAATATGAAACGATGAATGGTTACGTTAATGGCTTAATGGTTAGGAAGTATCAGATGTCATTAATAACAGTGCAAAGGAACATTATTGATGAGATTTTATTTATTTGTACGTAAACTAGGCACATTAATGTTGCTGAAGGCCAATGTGTATTCCAAACCGATATATCTTCATTGGACAATACATATGTGAGTACGTACAAATGAGAACACGTCTCATGTGTATAACAGAGGTATTACGAGTATATTTAATTGAACACACAGTTTAACATAAAACTAAGTATTTTCAAATCCTCTGACATGTTTTTTCTCATGTCATACAGATCTAGTTGTGCTCAGATCGCAACTGCTGGCATGTCGTCCTGTATCAAACTGTAGAAGAACGATTAAGTAAGTCAGTAATGTAGCAATAAATCTGATAAAGAACGGAAGAAACGCTAGCTTTTACATTAAAGTACCATTTTATGTAAAATTATTAAAACTCAAATGCTTAAATATAAACTGTTTTCCAATGAAATTTGTTATAGTTAATGATATCTCAAGAATCTGTTCAACAACATCACATATGTGAATCTTTAAAATTTAATTAAATGGGAACTAACTCTATGTTAAGTAAAATAAAACCATGTTATACATTGGACTTTGTCGTAGCTTCTGCGGTAATATCAGGGTCATTAGCTCAATATCAGCTGCAGTTAGAGGCCTACATATCTCCAGAGAAATTGTAGGGGAAAATACTGTAACCATGTGATCAAGATTATTTACTCACAGATCTGAAGAGTCCCCTATTGATGTCTTTGAAGCCGAGTACAGATATTACTGGCGGGTACAACGATATTGTTTGCAAGAAAGCGTTCACCTAGAATGAACCATAAAAACTGGGATATTACATGTATCAATTAGTTTCAGGACAATAATTATTTCTGTACTAAATTTTACATAATAACGTCGGTAGCAACAGAAGTGTGGGATAAGGATCTCTGTCATCGTTTGGTTAATTTAGATCGGATCACAGCTGCTACAGGTCCTGAAAGAATAGTTTTTGATCGCGTAAGAGAAATACTTTCATTGAAAGTACCCGTCAACGATTTCTTTGGAACGTCAGACTGTTTGTCAAATAATTTTCGTTTGCCCAAATTATTTATGGATTCAAGGTCGAAATTATTAATCACCTTTTTGAATAGGGTTACGGAAAAAATGAAATTTACCAGTGCTAATATATTCCATAAACTTTTAGATATAAAATGTTTATTCTTTTACTTCAAATAGTAAATAGTGAAATATGCTTTTCAAGGAACGAGGGAAAAACACAAGCGTCCTGGACGAACTATTTGTCTCTCTTCCTTCTACGGACGTAATATTGTACCCATTCAACGACACGGAAGGAAAGATCAGGTTCGTCGGTTTGGATCGGGGCTGACACAAACGTTTGTGAATGGGGACTTCGGATTCATTAAACCGTTCAAACATGAAAAAGCCAAATAAAAACAAAGACACACAAAAAGTGGGAATAAATACACATGACCATTAATCTGAAACTCAATGCACAACTTAGACTTCTTCAGAGATGACCGGAATCCACATGCGAGATAAATCCAAACTGGGCTGGCTGATAGGATTGGCAAGTAGTGCCATGTGTGCTGTCTCCTTGTATTTTCTATAGACGGTATTGGGTGCTGTTAATAACACTCTGGCTCCATCCCAACAGAAAAGATGATCTTCTTTATACGCATGTTGGGCCAATCTAGATTTCTCCAACAGGCCCTGTGTGAAGTTATATTTATGTTCCTTTATTCGTACCTCCAGAGGTCTGCTAGTTTTGCCGATATATCATCTACCACAATCACAAGGGATCCCGTACACACAGCCTAGTCTGTCTCCCGACTGTTCTGGGTCTCATGGACATCAATAAACCACGGAGAGTGTGGCTGGTTTTTAAAATCGTCCTGATATAATAACGGTTCCCAATTCTTCTAAATTTTTATAATATGTTTAAACTTTTTGCTTGAAATAGCAAAAGAGTGAAAAATGTTTTACAAGGAACAATGGAAAAACGCAAGCGTCCTTGACGAACTATTTGTCGGTCTTCCTTGTACGGACGTAATATTGTACCCATTCAACGATACAGATAGCAAAAATGACCAGTAGAGGGCCATGAAACGTGAAACAAACGTAAGGATTACAGACGCTAAGAAGAACGGTTTTAACTGGAACTGAGTGGAAGGAACGATCATGTTCGTCGGTTTGGATCAGGGCTGACAGAAGCGAGGAATTCGGATTCATTAAACCGCCCAATGGATATTTTGGTCACGTTAAAAAAAAGGCATGTGCCAAATTCCCATCCGGATGAAATCGATCGCATGAAAACCACAATTACCAGGTTCCGTTAATTCATGAATGACACATTTCTGGGTTGATATCAAGTTAAGAAATGTATGAATAGCAAAACAGTAATGGCCCGATGAAGCCTGAAACTTTGTAATAATTGTGTGCTAATAACGCGTAAAACTGGCTTCTTGGACAAAGCCCATTGTCCAAATTATAAATAAAATGAATAAGTTTCGAAAGCCAGATCTGCTTTTGTCTTCAAGTAAAAAGTAGAACGGAGGGAAACCGTAGCTTCTGGACCATCAGGTTGAGCTAGATTGAGGCCAGATCAACCAGGAGGCCCAAATGTAAGGTTTCTGTTCTTTTCATCTTCTGTCTGAAGAAGGAAGCAGATCAAGCTTCCGAAAAGTGTAGTTTCATTTTTCATTTTTCAATGGACAAAATCCAAAATACAAGTTTTATAGAGTTGTGTCCCATTCTCCATACAAACATTAGTGGTCTTTATGCGGTGATTCCTGGAAATTGTTGGGCCAACAAGGAGGCAATAACAAATTCCCATGTTTCTTATGCGATTGTAATAGAAAGCGAGTACAAACAATGGACAACTAAAGAGTGGTCTAAAAGGGAAAATTTAATACCAGGAACGATAATTGTTGTGCATGTCAGTTAAGTTGATCTGCAGAACGTTACACAGCCTCCTTTCCAAATTAAACTCGGTATTATGAAGCAATTTGTAAAAGCGCTGGACAAAAGTGATTCATGTTTCCAATACATCGGCCGTAAGTTTGCAGATTTGTCCGAGGCTTAAGTCAAAGAGGGCATATTTAATGAACCACAAATTCAGCAACTTATGAAGGATACGACATTTACCAATACCATGAGTGACACAAAACGTCATGTATGGAATACAATCAAGGACGATGTTCAGAAGTTTTCATTCGGAAATGTAAAAGACACACAGCATGATAGAATTATGGGAAATGTGTTTAAAAGTCTGGAGATACTCGAATGTAACATGAGTTTAACATTGCATTTCTTGTACTTTTGTCTCGATTAATTACATGATAATTTATGAGACCTCAGTGAAGAACATGGTCAGAGATTATATAAAGATGTAAGGGAGATGAAAAGAGAAGCTCTTTATAAGGAACATAAACAGTCATTTGCAATAAATCATAAGCGTAAACATTCTGACCCTAATTATTCTTTTTAAATGTGGGTAAATAATGTTTTTGACAGGTATTAACTTTTTCGGCTGGAATTTATACCGTATGGAGATGGCCGTCTTCAGGACAAAGAGCTCTGAAACGTATGTAAACTTCTATCAAACTGAAGGGCGCAACGACTCCTCTATTGTGGGGTAGCCATTTTCAAAACTAGTGGTATCTAGCGGAGACGCGCAACATAACAATCACTCGGGTCACTTGAAACAAAACTTTGAGTTTTCTTTATCGATTGGTGTGACGTTCTAGAAAAGCAAAATTGTTCTGTAATATTTTGGAAATGTAAAGTTCTTTTGTTCTCACCCTACATGTCTGGTGCCCTCTCAAATATTTATTCAAGTTTGCAGTCGTATTTTTTGGACGATAGAATTATGTTATGAAATTAATACGAAAAGCAATTAAAAAGGGATACTAAAATATGTGGACGTCATATTCGAAATAGATAGTGTATTTATACCTTATGAAACATCCGCAGTCCAGTAACGTTTGTTAACGAGCTGAATGTAGTTTCGAGTGTTATCTTCAACACTTGTTAAATTTAAACTTAAATGGGAAAGGAAATTAAGATGAAGGTTAAAAAAATTGCGTGTGTTCCGGATTCTTCTCCATAACACTGGGTCCAGTTGCTGGCTTTTGTGATCATGTTAAAGAACATTTCAGTTCGAAAAGACGTTTTAACTGACACTTTTTACATAACTAAAACCAACGAGGATATTTTAACTTTATTAATACCCAAATATGAATGCACACTGAGTAGGCCATGACCAAAGACAACACGCGACACGTTGGTGTACCTGCGGTTGAAGAAGAAAATGCACGTAATAAATCAATAGAATTTGAATATTAGACCAGAATAATACCAACACCAGCACCGCTACAGAGTGCTTGAAAAGGCACACAAAACATCGAAATGTATTTGAATGCAACCTTCAAAAAATACTTTAAACCAAATCTTGTCACTTTCGATCGCATTGGAACTACTAACATTGATACATGCACGACGTCCAGGCCGGAATTCGATTATTCTTATTCCTATGAAAACATTATAAATTGTAGCGAAATATATATGTAAGTACAGCTTTTGTTACACATTAATGAATTACATCTACACAAGTATCACTTACCTGACTTTGGTATGGTAATAGGAAGTATCCCGCTATACTTCATTGCTCGAAAATTGGTTTAATTTGGTTGAAGTAATGTTTATCTGTAAATGTGAATTGTTGTAAGAATACTGCATGTGATTGAAGTAATGGCAGCAGGTTTAATAAGTCTTAAGAAATGCATGCCTCCATTTTCTGGACCAATTCGAGACATTGCGACAAACACTATCAGCTTTATTTTCAATAGAAAGAACCTGTCTTCTGATTAGCGTGAATTGTAAGATTACTGCATGTGGTGAAGTAATGGCAGCAGGTTTAATAAGTCTTAAGAAATGCATGCCTCCATTTTCTGGACCAATTCGAGACATTGCGACAAACACTATCAGCTTTATCTTCAATAGAAAGAACCTGTCTTCTGTTTAGCTTTTTTTTACAATAAAGACAATGTACCTTAGTAAGCCTTATATAATAAGCAAATGGATTTACCTTTGCTCTGTGCGAACACATGAATTATTGTTCTGAAAGCCTGTTAATTGCTTAAAATTAATCGCTTTATCTTACGATCTGATGAGCGCTAAAATATTACACACACACACACATATATATATATATATATATATATATATATATATAAAAATGAAAGTTTTTTCTTATAATCAAGCGTATAAATATTCAGGAACGTCAAATTTTACACCTAGACAATGCAAAATTATATTCCAAAATTCTAGTTTGTGTTTCAGAAGATTACATGTCATGATATAAATTATATAAATTCAATTTACTAACGTCTTTGGTAGGCTTGCGCATTTGTGTACATATGTACGTAGGAATATATTCATACTGTATGTGTGTATGTAGTCTTACAGAGATGTTCCTAAGAGATGTATACACACAAGGTTAACATTCCGTAAAATAATATGTACACATCTATTTGGGACATTCCTCATGTATGCATTATTAACATTATTACTGAACTTCAAATTTTGCTTCGAATGAAACGCATGATAGACTACGTAATCGATCGTGGCTTATTTGATGCTATTATCACGGTCCTCGTTCGAGATAATACAGAAATACACCAAGAGTCCACTTCAGAACTGCAATTCAGAAATGATGCAGCAGTGTAGCAATCATAACCTCACATATAATGTAACGAAGTTGCAGAAAAATAATACTCGCAGAATTCGTGAATGAGGGTCTCTTGCCAGCCCGCACACCGCAATACTTTGTTGAAGCTCCAGTTATGGGCGGTAACTGCGAGGAAATTGATTAAAGAAATCTCAAGAGGGCAACCGACAAAAGGTGGTTCTTAGCGGTCCTCCGAGAAAGTCTGGAAAACGACGGGGTGAAGGGTGGGATAATATTAAAATCGGCCTCAAAGAATATGGTAGGGAGGGTGTGGATTGGATTCATCTAGTTCATTAGAAATGCCATATGTGAGGCTCCTGCAAACTCGATAAAAAAAAGCAGATAACTTATTAACCAGATGAGCAAGTATTAGCTTCTCAAGAAAGACTCTTGTTCCTAGCAGAAAAACAAAATTATGTTTTTTTATAAAATCTGACTTTTAGTAATGTGTAATCATTTTGTGTGGTACCTACTTAAAACATTCGCCATGCTGTGC